TTAGTCTACATAATGTTCGACTCAATAATGTCTACTTGAATTTATACAAAGGACTTCATAAACCTCTGGGAAGGGGATGTGTCTTATAATGCTATTAAAAGTATTACGGGTAGAAAAGAGAAGAAGGAATTAAATTTGAGTACAGATAATCAAACTTTATTTTATTTTATTCCACAAAACCAAAGCCCCAAGGAAATTTCTTGATTTATAACCTCTCAAATTAATACATAAATCTGGACTCTATATAATAACTGAAGCTTACTATTACCATTCCCATGTAACATTAACCAGGAAGATAAAAACCAAACAGTCAAAGCAGATAACTCCAAGAATGCATCTCCAGACAGTAAAAACTGAAAATTTTTCAGTTTCAGATTCTCAGGCTAATCTTGCTTTGTCATCTGGTTACTTCGGGCTGATTCATCCTGGAAGACTCATCACCTCATCTATCAGGGCCTCCTCTCTCACCTCTTCCAACCAAAGCTATTTTCAACATTAGTCTTTTTGACAGTAGGAAAATGGAGAGATGCTTGTGCCCCAACTTAAAATATAGCCCAAGGAATTGTTGAAGTACAAGCACTCACTCTTTAAAAAAGAAAGAAAGAAAAAGAAAGAAAGAAAGAAAGAAAGAAAGAAAGAAAGAAAGAAAGAAAGAAAGAAAGAAAGGAAGGAAGGAAAAAGAAAAGAAATAGCTAAGCTCACACTTAGGAGAGAAAGTACAGTAACTCAAAAAAAAAAAAAGGTAAAAAACTAGAGCAAAGTAATCCAGGGATCTCTCTGGCCCAGGGAAAAAAAAAAAATCTCTCAAAATGATGTTTAAAATGTCATAGAGAGGGACAGAAAATAAAATCTAATGAATGAGGGGCGCCTGGGTGGCTCAGTCGTTGAGCATCTCTGCCTTCGGCTCAGGTCATGATCCCGGGGTCCTGGGATCGAGCCCCACATCAGGCTCCCTGCTCGGCGGGAACCCTGCTTCTCCCTCTCCCACTCCCCCTGCTTGTGCTCTTTCTCTCTCACTGTGTCTCTCTCTGTCAAATAAATAAATAAATAAAAATCTTAAAAAAAAAATCTAATGAATGAGGCCAAGAAAATAATTATAATCAATCCACTGGTCATCCATAATTCACAGTTAAGGTAACATTAACATTTTGTGTTTATTTAAAGAAATGGATGGAAAATTATAAATGTTAGGGGAAAATCTAAATGATAAATAAGGCAAGGGGCCATCTGTCAACCTTTGGTATCCAGGAAGCCAAAGGGTTAATGCCCTTGTGAATTTTAAAAGTATACTAAAATACATCAAAGTTACTAATTGCCTGTAACCTGAGACCAAAACTTCAGGCATGCTTCCTTGCTCATAGTAACAAGAGCACCAACAAGTGTTTACTGAGGTTTTGCCATGGATCAGATACTGTTGTGAACACTGCAGAGAATACAGCATTAAAGGTGACAGACAAGGCTCTGTCCTTATGGAGCTATGCGCTGTCACAAAGAGGAATGATAAATATGGTTAGACCAGGGAACAAACCATGACTAATTCTCTGGTACAAAGAATCCTGCCTTATAAGGCAGAATCTTTCTTGCTGAATTGCAATTTTACAGAGACCTGAATCTTTTCCAGGAGAAGAAACTTTTTATATGTGTTTAATAGGTTTGGAGGCCTGGGCGCCTGGGTGGCTCAGTTGGTTAAGCAACTGCCTTCGGCTCAGGTCATGATCCTGGAGTCCCTGGATCGAGTCCCTCATCGGGCTCCCTGCTCAGCAGGGAGTCTGCTTCTCCCTCTGACCCTCTTCCTTCTCATGCTCTCTGTCTCTCATTCTCTCTCTCGCAAATAAATAAAATCTTAAAAAAAAAAAAATAGGTTTGGAGGCCTTTTAAGGGGTAGGGTTGGAGATAAAAGGCAAATCCCATCAAGTCAGAGAAGAGTTGATGATGTTTTGACTCTTTGAACCCTGCCCACCCTAATCCACAACAATTCATCTGTGGCTTTGGTACAGAACTTGGTTAGTACTACAAATTTCTAGGAAGCTCTGCTACATTTGGAAGCAAAATGGGAAGTAAACAAAATTTGTCTTTGCTATTCTCTGCCATCTCCCTCGTTTGCTATGTCTTCTTGTATTCCTTTCTTTTTTCCTACCTTTTTGTCTATTTTGAAATTTTTTTTTAATTCTTCAAAAATCAATGTTTTTGTTTACTATACTCTTTTTCCAGGTCTCATTCTTAATATCCCTTCAGGAAGCCAGCCTGGGGGTTAATAAAATGAAGAGTTCTAGGTACACAATATAAAACCAAGTATAGTTTAATTTCCCTCACTTGGTCCCTCTTATCATATCCCTACAAGTTCCTTTCCCTCTTTTTCCATCAGTCTTTGGTCCATGACTTTCTTTCTACTCTACCATCCTCTTTCCACTTCCCTCCACTTCCCCTTCCATCTTTTCCAAGTAGAAAAAAATGATTATTAGAATATAAGGATAACTGGAGTTGTGTAATACAAAAGGATTGACAGTATGTTATGTGTACAGTTAAGTTCATTTCATAAGGATTTGTCCCTTTGAGTTTAAGACACTGCGTTGTGTGAATAAATTTCACTAGAACCATGGTTACTAAATATAAAACTCAGAAGATTGTGAAGATAAAGTTTTATGCATTTTCTTAGCTGTCTAAAGATATTATTTCAAAAATCCTTTTGTGTTTTTGTATATACTAAACAATTTGCATGAGAGAAAGAGAGGTGGAGAGAACCAGCCCTGTTTTGCCTCTCACCAGGTACCTACTTTCAAAGGTATTTTTTTATTATTTTTTTTTTATTATGTTATGTGAATCACCATACATTACATCATTAGTTTTTCATGTAGTGTTCCATGATTCATTGTTTGCATATAACACCCAGTGCTCCATTCAGTACGTGCCCTCTTTAATACCCATCTCCAGGCTAACACATCCCCCCACTCCTCTCCCCTCTAGAACCCTCAGTTTGTTTCTCAGAGTCCATAGTCTCTCATGGTTCATCTCAAAGGTATTTTTAAGCCCTGGGTCTGGCATGCCTAGACATCCTCACCTTCCTATCCCCCAGCCTGGCTCCCTGCAGGGGTACCGGGAATGAGACCTGGGAAACGCCCAGGTCTGGAGTCAGACTGATTTAGATTTGAAGCCCATCTTTGTCTTATTAGCCCAGTGACCTTAGACAAGTTATTTAACTCTCTTAACCACTTTTTCACCTTAAAATGGTGCTCATAAAACCAACCCCATTGTATTGTTATAAACATTTGATGATCTGATCCATAAATGTTTAATCACAATATGTGGCATACAATTGCCATTTAATAAACAGTATATATGATTTATATATACCTAAGTGTACACACATTTACACCCCATGTGCCCATCTTTTCTTCACCCACATATGCAATTTACTTATCTGTCCTCAATGCCATTCAGGCAGAGTCCTGCCCTTCTGCCCTTGAAGCATTCACATTTTTCCAAATTCACAATTAGCTAATGCGAAAATCTAATCAATGGAAATGTGCTAACAAGAAAGGATGAGAGAAGAGGACAGTGACTACTGCCTGCCAACTCAAATATCCCTCAGGGGTAAAATATGGCTCTTGGAAACAAAACTGTACTAAAAATTGCATAGGCCAGAGCAGTGACTTATGGTGTGAATTTTAAGTAGCACCATCTGGGAGATTCCTGTATTAGCTCTATGTAACCGTGACCACTTCCTTTACATGTGCTAATATGTAAGCCATCACTAATTTTAAAATAAATAAATAAAACTTAAATGGATATTGTGTCCTTTTTCATATAAATTAAAGTACATGCAGAGATGCTCCATTTACCCCAGAACATCCTACAAAATAAATATAACTCACAGGAAAATAGGGCAATGGGAAGGCTAAATGCCCATGTAATATCGGTGATAAAGCAAAACCCAGAACACAATTCCCTTTTCAAGTCAATATTTCTAGACCTGACTTCATAAAGTATAACTAAAAAAAGAAGCACAGCTTTGAAAACTTCATCCAAAAGATCAAAAATCTGTGAATTAGACAATCACAAGAGAGTCACACCTTTTGCCACACTAACAGGAAAGACTTAAATAATGGACTCAGTGGCTGGCCATGCGAGACAGCCACTTAGTCATTTTTCTAGACACTATCCATCATTGAACACATTCCCGAATTTCATGCAACCTAATTTAAACTTCTATCTGGCTGTTCTGATCGGAATAAACATGCAATCAGGTAAAAGCTTGACAACCCTGACGCCTAGTGGCTATGAGGAAATTGGTGAAGATCAGCTTGGGAAAATTAGCTAGCTAGTTACTATGGCAGCATCTCACAAATATATAAAATTTAGTGATTACTAATATTTTTTTAAAAAATACTAATTCTGAAAGCAACTCTATAAAAGTCTATTTTTGTTCTGTACTTATTGAGAGGTCTATACAAGGAGGCTAAAAGCCTTGCATTTGTAAAGTATATTTTCCTTCCCCCTTACACATTTAGCAAAATTCCACTAATCTTCAGAGATCAAACAAGAAAACTAAAGGTTGATTCATACTTTGGCGTATTCGTGATTCTTTCCCTCAATTTTGTATGTACATCTATATCCTTTTCCTGGTCATCAGGTGATTTTTCTCAAGTATCCCCTTGTCAAATATAAAAGCCATCTGGCCAAGCCATCACAGAGGTTTCCTTTATGACATTGAGGTGTCCTTAGTCAAAGGGTAGTTATAGCTTCACAAACCAGCAGGAGTTTTCTTTAAGAGAGGTATAAGGACACATGTGGAGACCCCCAAACTGCACATCCAAAAGCAAGGGCCACAACGAATGCTTCAGGAAGCCATATGAATACAGCAGGTCGCACAGCACAGCACAACCTATTTCTGCCCTAAACATTAGAAGATAAGTCTCCCCAGATCCACTTAAACCTGACAGGCAGGATGGCAGGAAGCATAAAGTGTTATCTCCTTCACCAAGGAGAGTTCTTACTCCTACCTGCTGACGTTTGAAGGCTAAATAATCCAGATTTTCCAGCTCCTTCCCAAGCTTCTGGTAGGTTTTCTGGAGGTCAGATTTATTGGAAACATTTTTGAGAGACTCAAATGTTCTTTGAAACTGAAATTGAAAACAAAAGTAAATCATTAGGCTAGCAGGACATTTTTCTCAAATGCCTAACTATCTAAAACAGAGAAATAGTCCAGATTGAGCCTCAGTTTCTCTCATTCATAATCCAGAGAGAACAAATGCTAATTGTCTTTCAATGAAATAACAAAGACTGATTATAAAGAATTAGAAACTGTATCATAAGTATAACCAACATTATTGCATGAATGGGAAGCGTGTTTAGTCCTCATTCCAACAAAAGAGCATACCTCATTAAAAAAAATAAAAAAACAACTGTGTTTTAGCATGTACTGCTACTTCTTTTTTTTTTTTAATTTTATTCTTATGTTAATCCCCATACATTACATCATTAGTTTTAGACGAAGTGTTCCATGATTCATTGTTTGTGCACAACACCCAATGCTCCATGCAGAATGTGCCCTCCTCAATACCCACCACCAGGCTAACCCATCCTCCCACCCTCCTCCCCTCTAGAACCCTCAGTTTGTTTTTCAGAGTCTATCGTCTCTCATGGTTCGTCTACCCCTCCGATTTCCCCTGCCCCATTCTTCCCCTGTACTGCTACTTCTAACAAAAAAAAAATTGTGATGAATGTATAATTTCAAATCATAATGAGGAAGTACTAAAGGAGCTCTCACATTCCAATCATGGAAACAAATATATATAAAGGTAGCTGCTTGCCTCTATAGAAATATCTATGCAAAATAAGCACCCCACAAACTTCAGCCAGGAAGATCTCTCAGATCTTATATTTTGAGAAGGAAAGAAAACTAACATTTTGGTGATCAAAGCATATGTAGCACGTTCAGCAAACATTTATTCATTTCTGCTCTATAACGCAGATGAGTTATAAAATCAGTTCTGCTGAATCAGAATGCTTCTTTTCATTTTTAAGTCAGATACTAGATAAACACAAAGGAGACAAATTGCAGTGGATCACAGAATACTGTTCTGCTGCTAATAATTAATTAAACAAAGGGAGCTCACAAGAAATTCAATTCTTGGTTTATTTTAGTAAATTAGAACATACTTTGGAAGATCAGTGATTGAAAATGTCAAGTAATGTTACTTGCAATGACATTTGCATTTGCTCTCTCTTCATGTCATTTATTTCCCGTATTCTCACTGCATGCCTTTAGACAGATTTCTACAGATAGAGACTTCACCATCTTAAACACACCAGAATTCCACGGACTATGATGCTATGAGACAGGCTAATAAGATTTTATAGAATATTATTAAGTTTCCAGGGAAATGATTTGACCTTACTATTCAAATTCTATGGAATAAGTCATATTATAATGGCATCCTACTGAATTAAATCCTCAATTTCATGAAAGCAACATGTTTATCTCAATCCAAGATGACAGAGGAAAAAGAAATGGAAAATAACAGTGCTAAGCTTCCACAGCACTATAGCAAATTAAATTCAACAAATAATCTTTTAGAACCTACTATGCACAAGGTACTACTATGAATATTAAACATATTTCCTGCCCTAAAGGAACTTATAAACGACTCAGGAACTAGACATGAAACTCAGAAGTGGGAAAGACATTTACTGAGTGCCTGCTCAGTGCCAGATACTTTGTGCTTTCCAACTTAATCCTATTTCACTCCCCATTCTACAAGTAAGTACTCTGGGACTCAGAGTATAAACCGGGTTTTTACTACAATATTTGTGCTCTTCCTACTATACTACTAACTTTAACACAAGGTAAAGTAGTAAAGAGAATACAAAAAAAAAAAAGAGAGAGAGAGAGAGAGAGAGAGATAAAAGCAACATGTGGTAAAACAGAAAAAAACTAGGTATAGCAATTGAGGGACTCAGGCCACATAGAACACATGAAGAGATCTGAATTGGGCTTCAAATGGAAGGACAAGTTCTCAGAGCCTTAAATGGGAACAGATTCTACCCATCAGTTTAAACAAAGTCTGCTCGGTTTCCCCATTTTATAGCATAGTAAACAAATTTCTCTTGACGTAATTGTAATGACTTTTATATTAACTATCGTGTTGTATGATCATTTCTGTGCCTTGCCCATTTCTTGGTCCCTTCTCACTACATTCAAATCAAAATACCAAATCTAATATTCTAAACAATTTAAGTAATTTTACTGACAATATAAACTATTTTACCAATCAGTTTAATCCTAAGCACTTTATTTTCCCTAAAAAAATTAGCTCTACTTCTTAAATATTACTTCTTCACATTTATTTCTGTGAACTTTATATAGTTCCAAATAGGAATTCTAGGGTAAACACATTTATAAGTCTTAAAAATAAAAAAAACAGGGGCGCCTGGGTGTCTCAGCTGATTAAGTGACTGCCTTCAGCCCAAGTCATGATCTCAAGGTCCTGGGATCGAGCCCCACATCGGGCTCCCTGCTTGATGGGAAGCCTGCTTCTCCCTTCCCCACTCCCCCTGTTTGTGTTCCCTCTCTCGCTGTCTCTCTCTGTGTCAAATAAATAAATAAAATCTTAAAAATAAAATAAAATTAAGCTAAATTAAAATTAAAATTAAAAAAACATAAAAACCAAGCAATATGTCCATGGCCAAAGAAGAAAGGGAGACAACCCAGCAAGAATATATCACTACAAAATATTTCTATGAAAAATCAGTTTGTGTAAAGTGGAGACTTTAAAGTTTGAACTTTCATTATCAAGACTTACACTCTCCATTTATTGATACTAAATAGCTCAAAGTACTCAAACTATGATGATTCATTTATTTAAGTAGGTTTTTTTCCCATACAACAACAAATAATTTGTCAAGGAGAGGTCATACAATATCTGTTAGTGTACTTTAGATTAGATCCCTATTAAACACACCCCATCTCTCTCTGCCCATATATATACTTAAAGATGCTAAAGAGTAAAAGCAATAATTTTACCTTGCAGATAAAGCTGACATGCAAAAGATAAAAATAAGACAGTGATTAAAATGAGGTTTAGATTTTACTTTTAAAAAATTAGATGTTGACTTTATTTGAGGATTTTTCATTCCAATAGGCCACTGTGCTTGATCACTGCAATAGACCTCTTGAGATTTTCTCATTAGTTCAGTGCATTGCAATTTCATTATGTTGACTATGTCTCAAAATAAATTCTCTTGCAGTTGAAGGTAAGTTGGGAAAGGAAACAGAATTAATTGAAGAGATTTTAACATTCCTAGATTTTACTTCTTCAAACTTTTGAGTGGAAATTTAAAATAAGCAAAGAAGCCCCAATAATTTGTCAAACATTAAATTTATCCTGTGTTAATATTTTTCCCTTACTACAAAATTCAAATGTAAGATAAAAAAGCCCAATGAATAAATCTGACTTCCAAACAAGCCTAGGAATGTTGTAAAACTGCCAAAACTGAATATCAAAATGGTCTCTGAACTGGGAAACAAATGCAAATTGTGTCCTATTTGATTACCTTATCAAACATCACAGGGCAGACAGGACAAAAATGAGAAGATGCAAACATTATCTCTAAGCCCAAAACTTGCCATTAAAGTAAGCATTGTAAACACTCCCAGTGTGTTTTCTCATAAAATTCTTTTCTGTTCAGATTTTGGTTCAAGATGGCAATGTAGGAAGGTCCTGAATTCACATCCTCCCATAGACACACTGAAACTATAGTTATATATGGAACAATTTCCTCTGGTAAAAAACCTAAAAACTGGCTGAACAACCACTTCACATCAAGCAAATGAGAGGTAAACCTCAAAGGCTGAGACACAATCTCACCATAAACCCCATCTCCAGCATGGCAACCCATATTTGGGAGGAAACTCAAAACCCACAGCTATTCCCTGAGTATCAAAGGGTTTGTGCACCACATCAGGCATGCCAACATTTAAGACCAACACCTGAGAAAAGCCTAAAACAAATGGCTTTGAAGACCAATGGGGCTCATGCCCACAAGATCCACAGGGCTTTGGCAACCTGAGAAATGGCTCTTAAAGAGCTGTGTGCAGGAGCGCCTAGGTGGCTGAGTCATTAAAGCGTCTGACTTGATTTCAGCTGAGGTCATGATCTCAGGATCATGAGATTGAGCCCCACAGTGGGCTGAGCACTCAGTGGGGACTCGAGATTCCATCTCTCCTCTCTCTTTCTCCCTCAAAATAAATTAATTAATCTTAAAAAAAAAAAAAAAAAGCACTGCATGCAGACTCACCCAGCACAGAAGCAGCCCTTTGAAGATTTATTTATTTGAGAGACAACATTAAAAGGGGGAGAAACAGAGGGAAAGGTAGAGGGAGAGGGACAAGCAGACTCCCCACTGAGCGGGGAGCCCCACACGGGGCTCCATCCCAGGACCCCAAGACCATGACTTGGCCAAAGTCAGACGCTTAACTGACTGAGCCACTCAAGCGTCCCTTTTTCTTTTCTTTTCTTTTTTTTTAGATTTTATTTATTTATTGAGAGAGTGACAGAAGCAGCTGCCCTTGAAAAGCATCCCAACTTTATGTGAAAAGATTCATTTGTCAATTTTACTTTATTTATATTTTAATTTTAATTCCAGTATAGTTAACATAGGGTGTTATATTAATTTCAGGTAGACAATATAGTGATCAAGAATTCTATGCATTACTCAGTGCTCATCAAGATAAGTGTACTCAGGGTGACTGGGTGGCAGAGTTGGGTAGAGCATCTGACTTGGTTTTGGCTCAGGTCATGATCTCATAGTCATGGAATTGAGCCCCACAACAGGCTCCACACTCAGCACAGTCTGCTTAAGATTCTCTCTCTCCCATCTCCCTCTGCCCCTCCCCGCTCTCACTCTCTCTCTCAAAATAAATAAAATCTTTAAAATATCTAGATATAGATATAGATATAGATATAGATATAGATATAGATATAGATATAAGTGTACTCTTAATCTCCATCACCTGTTTCACCCATTCCCCCACCCACCTCCCTCTGGTAACCATCAGTTTGCTCTCTATAGTTAAGAGTCTGTTTTTTGGTTTTTCTCTTTTTTCCTTTGTTCGTTTGGT